TGGTTGGTTGTTTTTTTAAATTTTCCTAATTTGAGAAATATTGCATAGATAAGAAAGCAGATAAGCCAAGTAAGATGACACAGATTAAGTCATAAATGCCACATGGATTTAGAGCTTCATAATTATTTTCAACTATCAGAAGGCCATTGTAGAACAAGTCAATAAGGAGCCAACGGGCCAGCAAACTTGTGTCTTTGTGCAAGTAAAACAACCCCAAATAAACCAAGAATAAACATTCAACTGAAAGGCAGCCTAAAGCAAAGAGAAATAGGCCCAACATTTCAATTACAGACTGACCAAAACCAGCAGACTAATGAGACCACACTAATGTCCACCCTGACATTTATCTTGGCCATTTTGAGAAATAGCTCTCACCCTCCCCTTTATAACTGGAAAACTGCTTTCTGCTGATGTATCCTTCCATCAAGGCACAGGGGGAGATGCAGGGATAGGGGAAGATGAAAGGTTATGTCATCTTCTCTTCATAACACGGACAAAACTCTATTTGCATGTTAAAGATATTCTAAAAATGATTAAAAAAAAAGAACAAGACAAGATTCTTATTTTAGGAGGTTATGCTAAATAAAATTAGCATTCTGAGATTTATTTTCCTTTTTTTTTTCAATATTTAAGATTAGTTTTCTACATATTTCTTACAAAATAATTAAGGATTAAGCCACTACAGCAAAACTACACAAGTGCAGGAAGAATGGACAGTGGAATTGAAATGCAAGCAGTTTCCAAAATCTATTTTTAATAATATATTTTAATATATTAATTTATCAGACTACCAGTAGTCTGATAATCAGAAGACAACCCTGCAACATCACACTAAGTTGACTTAATGGCATTTCTTACGATGGGAAAATATAAACCAAGTTATTTTGATGGTTACAAGATAAGCTTCCCATTAATTAGAAAAATAAATTAAGAGAACACTAAAGGATTACTGAGTTTGTTTGCAAATCATCCACAACTCATTATTTCAACAACAGACTTTGGGATGAATTAGTGGGTTGTCAAACAAATAAATACACTTTCTGATGATAGTTTTACAGCATCTGCTGGATCCGTTTGCATCGATGTCTGGTTTGCAGTCATTAAACATTCAAATCACTACCCTGGTTACCTGATTACAAGCAGCATTAGAGATCATATCAAGGTAACATTCCTAGTTATTCCACCAAGTTCTTGCCAAAATACTTCCCTCCACAGCTTAAACATAATTTTATGGGCTTTTCCACCGCTACAAGCGAACATTGATTTTAAAGAATCATTGTTTTGTGGTTTGTTTTCCAGCCTAATAGTTCTATATTGCTCTTTATGACAACCTCCAAACAGTTGAACAGAAAAACCCCTTCCCTACAGATTTAGTCATTTTCCATTTAGTAAACAGATCTTACTGTTTGGGCACCTGCACACTCTGATGAAAGAAACACCATTTGTTTATTTGCCATTGTTTGTACTATCTGTATGGAATCTCAAAAATTAAATTCCTTTCCCACTGATCCTGCCTTTATCCGAGGAAAATGATTTCTCCTCCTCCAACCATTTGCAATGCTGAATATAACAAGGAAACACAAGGAAACACCCAGTGGCTGTATGAGCATTACCTAAAGTACCCTTCAACCATGAACAAGGGGATTTGATTTATTAAGATAGATTGTCTCTTAGTCATCGTAGTTTTCCTGGAAGTTACAGTGTTTACTAGACTAAATTGGGAAGGAACAGGAAATTAATACTGTTTGCTATGGATTATGAATTATGAGTCTTGCCTAATAGATGTTCTACTCAGAAAGAGTTCCTTACTGTTTTGTAGAAAGCAACCAGCTCTGAAAACAGCAGAAACAAGATCTACCCATAAATTACAAGATCATTTGATACATTAAGGTCATTCTGGGCAGAACTCAAAATGCCCTCCTAGAAAAAGCAGCCACATGTTGTTCCCTACCTACAGTGCTGCAACTGCTGCTTCACAACACTGAGGCAGCTCAAAGGCTGAAGGGTGAAGAAATCCATAACCAGAAGCAAGACAAGGGTAATTGCAAAGAAACATTTCTAACGCTTCTCTTATTTCAAGATGACAAATTAACAATACTGTAAATATTTTTTTTCAGAGAACTGAAACAAAATTAACTTGTCTCTGACAAGATCCATCAGGAAGTCATTATTTAAGAAGCCAGTATTTAACTTCAAACCACCAGCCTGGAAGACACATTTTAAATCTCTTTTCTTTATGCCTATGTTATGTGACAATTCACAAGAATGAACTCAACTGTTACACTGCCTAACATATAAATATATTACTAAACTACAAAAATCATTAAAAACCACATAAAACAAATGTCCAGGCACTAAACAAAAGAAACGACAACATTTAAAATGTGTGGTTATTGCCAAGTTAAATAGAACAGTAACATTAGGAAAATCAGTCAGAAAAACCACAAGGCTGAACTAAGTTTTAAAATTTGTAATGCTCAGCTTCACCAGAGATGTGTCATTTAGAGCTGCGTGGTTCTAAGATCACTCATGAAAACATTTATATTGGTCTTGAATTGCTTATTGCTGTTTAATGTAAACAGAAGAAACTGAGTAGATGAAAGTCAATAAAACATCAAGATTACTCTGAAAGGTCAAGCTGTCCCAAGGAAAAATGCCTTAGTCTGAAGCTGGGAAGGATTTTTGAAACAAATTTCACGAAGGAATGATCAGCGTACAACTAAATCCAGACACTTTAAATGCAGCTCAACTTGCCTGCAGGTCTGTACCAAAATCAATTAGAGGTTTGCATTTTCTACTTTGGAGACTAAATTTGTTGTACCACAATAGAAAAAAAAAAAAGTAAATCAGAGGAAAGTAAAGTGACTTAATGAATCAGTGTCCCACCAAAGCCTTTGGCTTCTTTCTACCAAACATGAGACTCCTTAGGAAAAACTGGAGTCCACCCATCCTTACTTCAAAAATGCCCAAAAGAGTTTTCTTTAATTCAGTTACTGCACTAAAGTCACTCACAGCTCATCAGAATCCAGTTGTCACAATTCAGGAATTCCTGCAGATCTAGCAAAATTCCAACTTGTTTTAAAGTAACAGAAATAAAACTAAAGAAAGTAAGGCTGCAGAATAAACACTCTCAGCAGTTGCCCTAATTATTTCTGTTCCAAATTTCTTATGTGTGGAACCTTCCACACTAACTGAGCACATCACTGCAGCCCCAGAGCTCCTCCTGATCCTGCTGTACACACAAAGCAATTTTACCTTCTTTTCTACTACGTTTTCCATGCTGACAAGGTTTGATGGCCAAAAGCACTTTAAAGCATCACTGCCAGCACGTCTGAACCAAGATTTCACACAAAGCTGGGAGTATACACACTGAGTAACAATCAAACTGGAAAGTAGCTTTCTTTAACCAATGAAATAAATTTGTGTAAGATCTGCCTCACATTTTTCATTCTCAACAGTCACTCCAAATAAAAAAAAAAAAGTGGCATATTAACTTAGGCTTTTCTGCTATCAACAGTTATAGTTTATAAAGCTGATGCCAAGAAATGGCTTGTCATAGACCTTATATGGCATTCCCTTAAACTCACACTATATACATGTTCAAGCCACTCACTGGCATCAACTTTTATGATTCTAAGAACTGTTGTGCCTAGTGGTGCTCCCTGACATTAAGGATTCTTCTTTCCATTTAATATTTGCTCTTTCTCTCACAGTCTGCACAGCCCACAAGAGCTAATCTGTGTGCTCCAAGGACTTATCTATCACCTGACATCAGATGGTCAAAAAAGGCCTCATTTGGCAGAGGCTTGAAGCCCATTTGGGATGTTTTGCAGTTTTACATGAAATCATACAGGCAATAAAATTTTCATTTTGATATTTCAATTTCACATGTTCTTATCCTGAAAAAATATTTTCAGTCAAACTAAATTATAGTACTGTGAATCTAAGGTCTATAATACACACCCTACAGAGGAAAAGAGAAATTTTCCCTCTTATTAAGCTCTAAATACAAAAATTTTCTATTTTTGCTTTGATAAAGATGAAACCTTTCCCTACTTGAGAAATGACTGCAAAACTGCAAGACCTCTGAAAAACTACTGCCAATAGGTTGGCTTTTCTTATATTAAGCTCCACAAACCCTAAATGCAATACCTAGAGACACTTATGAATTCAAAAGTTCTTCAAAAACATTCTTGCCAACAAGCTTAAACAAAGTCTAATAACAAAATAAGTACTAACTTTCAGTTACATGATCTCCATTGAGCTGCACATCTCATGATAAATGAAGTAACAAGCTGTCACATGTATTTTATGTTAGGCCAGGAAACATGAGAGTTTTTAAGAATAGGGCTTCTTGAGGTGACCCTCAAGAATTCCTCAGGAAAAATCCTTTGCCTTTCCATCCCCACTTCTTGACAGTGCCAAACTGCCTCATATTTCTTTGATCCTCACTCTACAGTAACCACTCAGAACAGCAGAACTGAATGGTCCTGTTTATGCATCACTGCCATCACAAAAAAACCACCAAACATTACACAGCTCCGCTTAAATAATGTCTTGATATTGCTAATTGCAATCTCATAAAATTAATTCATAAAGTGTTCGGGAATACAAAGAGACTGCTGACACCTTCTGGCCACTTGACATTCTGTCCAAAAAAAAGAAAAAAAAAAAAAATCAAGAGGACTTCCAAGAAAACATCTTTCATGTTTTCCCAGCCACTCAGGATCACATGAAACAGAAGCTGCGTCGATATTGCCATATGACAGTTGCTTGGTGCCGCTTGGTTCCCCTTTCACCCACATTCTCTCACCCATTCTCTGTCCTTCACAGAAGCATCCAAAACAAACAGAGATCCCATCTGGCTTAGTTTACCTTTTCCTTTTAACTTTCACTCTAGGCATACTGCACCCAAGGAATTATTGCAACTGAATCAAACAGTACACTCAGGTTCAGTACAAAAAAATAAATCCATATTTCACTGAATTAAACAGTCAAACCTGCAGATTTTGCTTCTGCTTCTTCTTCTTCTTCTTCACTGGTTCAGTTTCTGGTTCCAGCTCTTCCTTTTGGGCCACATGTTGCTTCAGCTTTTTTCTTTTTTCTGCCTTCTTTTCTTTTTTTCCTCCATTCATTTTTGGCATTCTGAAATAGAATTGTTCTGTAACAGAAACCAGGACACTGCAATTAGAACCTTTGTTAATATTAAATACCAGTCTCATATACAGACAGTTATACTATAATCACACTGGTATGAGAATTACTTGTGACTACTTAACCATGAAATGTATGTCTGGGCTGAATTTTGATTCATTTTAGAGATCTTTTCATGTTTCCTTTAGGTTACAGTTAAGCTACTGTAAAACTCAAATGTCAGTCTCCTGTAGGAAACTCAGCACTTATTCTCCTCTGAGGCCTGGTTGTGGAAAATGCCTCATTGACCCTCCTGGTAGAAAACCCCCCATAAATGATGTTGTGCTTCCTGCAGGTCATAATGCACCATATTAAATAGTTTGAATAACTGTCTACCTCACATAACACCAATCAAAACTCTCTCAACGTACATTAATGTGACTATCAGTCATCTCAATAAAATACATATGCGTGCATACACACATACAAGCAAAAATAAGCCTATGTGATCACTAAACAGTTTTAAGCCATCAGTTCTGTTTAAATTGCAAGTTTTTCTATTTTCACACAGATTAATGTGGTAAAAAAATGCTTAAAGAATTGCCTCGTTAGTTTTATTTTAATTTTACACTGGTATGAGGGTGAAGGCAAACAGGAGCTGCAGAAAACCCAGTTCTGAAACCAGGTCTAGTTGTAAGTCCACATAACTTCTCTGCGAGAAAATCTCATTTAAGTGGCTTTCCACAGCTGCCCCAACATTGTCACTTTCTGTTTAACAACACAAAGGCAACTGTTGGCTCAATCACAAATATTTACCTTGAAACACGCTAACAGATAAAATACGCTTTGGCAGGTTCCCAGTACAGCAGAACCCACCAAACGATGGGTTTGGCACCTCAGTTAGAGATACCAGGACCAGCCTGGCCATGCCCTGGGCAGGAGGGCACCACACAGCCAGCACCCACCCGCTGGCTTCCCAACACACGACCCCAGGTTCACTTCCCAACACAGAGCCCGGGATCGCTTCCCAGCTTGGATCCCCGGGTCTGCTTCCCAACACAGACCCCCCGGTTCACTTCTCAGCCAGAATTGCTGTGTCTGCTTCCCAACACACGAGCCCTGGGATGCTTCCCAACACACGCTCCCAGGTTCACTTCTCGCAGCACACACCCCGCGGTTCACGTCCCAGCAAGAACCCCCGTCTCTGCTTCCCAACACAGACCCCGGGATCGCTTCCCAACACGCCCCGACCAGATTCACTTCCCAGCACAGCACCCCTGGTTCGCAGCAGCCCCTCAGCCACCGCCGTGCACGTGGCCGGGCCACCCCAGCCCTCCCACAGCCCCGGCCGCGCAGGGACACCCCGGTGCTGCCCCTCCTCCCTCCCGAACCCGCCGGTCCCGTATGGGGGTCCCGGTCCGCCCCCGCCCGTCCCCGCGCACCTCCCGATCCTTCACATTCAACGAGCCCCACGCTTGGCGCCGAGGCCCGCCCCCTGCCTCCCATTGGCTACACGGGGAGAACGGAGGGCTCTGGTTGGTTCCCGGCACGCCAATCTCCCCACCGGCCAATAGAAAGCGCCGCTCCGGAGTTAAAGCGCCCACCGGGAACACACGTGCAGGGGAGCGATCCACCGGCTTCGGCGGGGGAGTGTGACGTCATCTGTGTGCGCCGGGATCCGCCTAGGGCACCGCCTCTTGGCCTGGGTCATTCCCGGGATAGGGATCATCCCTTGGCCTGACAGGGATCACCTGTGCCTTGGCAGGGATCAATCCCATGGGCTGACAGGGATCACCTGTGCCCTGGCAGGGATCAATCCCATGGCCTGACAGGGATCACCTGTGCCCTGGCAGGGATCAATCCCATGGCCTGACAGGGATCACCTGTGCCCTGACAGGAATCATCCCTTGGGCTCACAGGGACCCTGACAGGGACCATCCCATGGGCTGACAGGGATCACCTGTGCCGTGGCAGGGATCATCCCTTGCCTGACAGGGATCATCCCATGGGCTGACAGGGATCACCTGTGCCCTGACAGGAATCATCCCTTGCCTGACAGGGATCATCCCATGGGCTGACTGGGATCACCTATGCCTTGACAGGCACCCCTTGGCTTGACAGGGATCCCCTGGGGCCTGCCAGGGATCTCCAGAGCCTGACAGCTCTCACCCTTCACTGTCCGTGGAAGCCAGCCCGATGCTGTCGGCACAGCAGCTCCTGTGGGGGCCAGGGCCGTGCAGACACGGGGAGATGTGGCTCTCTGGAGAATGGCCATGATCCCCTTCAGCCCACAGATCCTACAGGCTCCATGTCTGAGACAGCATCACCCGTGTCCCGACCTGGTCTGAGGGAATGCGTGGGAAGAAGTGAACGGTGCGGTTTGAGGGGATGACAAAACACCTCCAAGAACAAGGTTTCCAGGAAGCAAATTGGCTTCCATGTTTTCATTTTCTATAAATACCACGTGCACAAACATCTCCATCTCCCCTTGGTAATTTAAGGACCAGAATACAGCATACAAACACACTGGTAGGTGAAGCAATTTTTTCATGACAACCTGAAACACAGTTTTTGTTTCCCTTTGCTGGGATCCCAGTGCCAGATGAAATGCTGGATGTGGTAGCAGGTGCTGGTGACAACAGCTCCCCGTTGGGCAGAGGCATCCTTTCACACCTCTGCATCCTTCTCCCATCCAAAACTTCCGCCATTCTGCCCCTTCCACCTTCTCCCCAGACTGTGAGGTGCCACCCCGTCCCCCACCCATCACTGCTGGGCTGGTCAGAGCCTCTTGGCTCTGGTAGATGTCCTCCACCCTGTTGCTCCCTTTAGAAACCCCCTCCCATAGCACCAGTGGGGTGCATGGCACCACTGAGGAATGGGTGGCCAGTTATAAATTATACAGAAAAAGTATAAAATGTATGCAAATGTATAGAGAATGTATATAAAACAAAATGTATACAAAACGTAGCAATGTGCTAGGGCTGAGTTATGGCGTTAGAGCACACAGAATAATCAGGAGGTGGTGGCACCTAAAATTAAAGTTGTAATTTAAGCTTTTGCTCCAATGTGAATAGGGAAAGCATGTCATCTATGTTTAGACTCCCTAAAATAAAGATCATTTTATTGCATATCCTATTGTGACATCCTGTGGTTAAACATAGTATTACAGATACTGTCAAATCACAATTTTGGCTGCATGATTGCATAAAACAAGATTAAATGGAATGAACAGTGGTAACTCATACCTACACTACATATTCAGTTTGGCCAATTAGCAATGATCTCCAAAAATTTCTCCAAGAGGAAAAATCACATTGGGCCAAACATTAATATGGGATAGCACTGATATTTGTTCTGTGTTGGCCAGAAATTACATCTTCCCTTTCTTATGAAAGGCCTACAACTCAAGGTGTTGATTGCTTATATGCCATCCCTGTGAAGGGCCATAAATCTACATTTCCTCCTTAGGCAGCCTTTGTACTCCAAGAATTAAACCTGGTCAAAGAGAAATAAGAGGCACAAGAGTCTTTGCACAGCTGCAGTGCCCCTCAAGGTTGCACAAAGCACAGGCATTAACTGCACTTACATCTCTCACACTATCATCAAAGATTATTTTTCCCAGGTCAAAGAACTCAGCACCCTCTGCTCTGCCAACTGCTCACCCTCCCACCTCAGCAGAGGAGCCTTGGACACTCATAGCTGCAGGGGACTGAAGGGACTGCAATTACCCCCCAGTTAGTCCTAAGCCAACACTCCAGCCCAGCAGCCCCGGTGTGCAGAGGAATGGCTCCAGCCACACATGAAATTGAGGTCTTGACCCCCTGACATCAGTGAGCCTTGGCATTTTTCTCACAATTAGTTGGATGAGAGGTCTACCTAGATCCCAGCTGGGGAATTAGCATTGTTCATTAACAGCACATTTCCATCTCATCAACCTACAATATTTCAGGCCTCAAGCAAAGCAGCTGGATGGTCATGCAGTTTTAAAGAGCCAGGACAGCTGATCAGGGTAATAGATGGAGCATTATCTATTATGGCTTCATTTGTTTAAGCTTTTCAGGAAGACTGCAAGAGTAGCCTCCCCTGACAGTGCTGCATTTTGGCCTTGTTCTCATTACATGAGACACAGTTAATACTACTTTCTCTGGCTTCCTTTCCCCCTCCCCCAGCTGCAAAATACACCCCTGCAAATGTAGATTTCTGTCTAAGGGGCAATAAATGATGAAGAATTATACTGCACATGCCTCTGTGAGCACCAGCTTTCAGTGAGTGAATTGTTCAGGCAGGGCCTAGAAAAACTAGGCATGGATTATAAATCAAGTGCTTCCAATGACATTCAGAAAACAAGAGGCAGCTTATATAAAAGTTGCTTCATGTTGATGTTGTTTGTCACACAGAACACTGCAGTGTGTGCTAGATCACTTCCAAAGGGATTGAGACATAGGAGAGCAGTCTGTATTTCAGATTTTCATTTTGGGGAACTCATAGCTCAGACTTTGCATGACCTAAGCAAAGCTGGCTGTGTTTCATACTAATTGTAATCTTCTTTCTACCACCATTCCCCAGTTTCCTCCATCAAATATTTTTCATAGTATTAAAGTTCTTATTCCAAATATAGGAACAAATAACGTTGGCTTGGAAAGTTTATTGAATACACAAAACATTCTGATACAAAAATACGTTAATTGCATAGAAATTTAAAGAGATAGAGAAAATATTAAGTTTAGACAGAGGTTTGATCCAGATATGAAGAGCCTCTACTACCTGCACCTGAAAGACATAAGAATGCACTGTAAGGGTTACACAACTAGAACTTTCATTCACAAGGAGATATAACATGCCAGGGAAGAGCCTGGGCCATTGTTTTCATTTGTGTGTTTGCTGTGCTTTCCTCAGCACTCTGATGACAAACCATTTTTCCAGAACTTGGCCAAGCCTCACTCTGAGCAGGTGGGAGACCAACCTGCAGTTACACCAATTTGATGTCCTGATGCTTGTGTCTATTTAGCTACTTTAATCACTCAGTATAGAGAAGCAGAGATTTACTTGTGCTGCCAGAACCCCTCTACTGCATTCCCAACTCTAGAGCAGCTGGAGGTGTGACAGTGGCACTGCTACACCATGTTGACACCAGCCTATTTTTAAGCAATATTCGTCTTTTCCCCTTGACAGCTCATACCTGTTGTGCTGAAGATTCCCATTAGATGGCACTCCAATTGCTCCCGGGGATTTGAGGGCAGTGTGAGAGGCTCTCATCAGAGCTGCATATCTACAAACACAACCAGGCTCAGCACCTATGCACTGTCTGTAGCTTTACTCTTTCATTCAATTTAATCATCTGCATCTGTCACACAAGTCTCACAGTCCTATTGCACAGAACAATGAAGGTACATCTGCCTGCAAGAGATTTTTATTACAATTAAGTTTAAACTTGGCTTCATAGTGTATTGATTATTTTTGGTTACTTCAAGGTGCTGGACATAGCTTTAGGATTCTAGTATTCTGATCCAAAGCGAACTTGAGTTGGCCAGTGCCTATTCTTAATTAGGAGAGACTGACACCAGTAAGCTTGGAAGAATTTAGGAAAGCATTTTACAAGCTTTTCTCCTTGCTTACAGGCTTTCAGAAATCAAGCTGGAAATACCAAGAGGAAATTGTGGCTATTTTATTGACATGAGGGGTAGTTTGGACAATTCCCTATTTGTCCAAGCTCCCCACCAACCTGATACCAGCTCTGAAATCTCAGCTTGAGCTGAAATACCCTAAGTACAGCTTACCCTGCCTTGGAGGTGGGGTGGCTGTTCCCTTTGCAGTCGTGATCCAGGGGATGCCGATGTTTTATGCAGAAGTTGAGGCCACACTGTTCACAAAGCACCTTCATCATCTCTTTCCTTTTGCAGCCTGGCTTTAAGCACTTGTTTGTGAAGATCTGAATAAAAGAGGAAAGGAAGTTGGCAATGTTTGCTTTCTGTGAGCAGCTTCCCAAGCAGTGACCAAGCTGAAGGACAAATGTTCAAGAGCCCTTAGAATTAGGATGAAACAGAGCGAGTTTCTACACATTCTGCTGTCAGAAGCCCTAACTTCACAAGCATTAGGAAGGCAGTTTAGACTACAACAGCAGTTTCCTTACCCTCTTTTGCTGTGCTGGATTGTATTTGCAGTCCTTATCCATGTGGGCTCCAACCACAACATCTGGTATTTCCCCCTTCTGCACTGGGATAGGTGCATTACAGAGTGGACACACTGGGACCTGCACATTCTAAGAACACAACACAGTTTAGAATCACAGAATCATTTCAGTTCGAAAAGACCTTTAAGATAATCAGGTCCAAACATTAGAAGTCCAAATTAATTTTTCTCTCCTTTCCCTTCCCTTACCCATGGGTAACAGAAGTGTATTCACAGGTGTTTCATGTTCTCATTCACTAATGCTTTTAAAGATACACTTCCCAACAGTAGCTGCAAATCACTACCCAAAAAATAGACAGACATGCTTTGCAAATCAATTTATAGCAACATATTTGGTAAGTCAACTTTAAATATTCTTCTGGGTTTTCTAGAATTACAGCCTTTGAACACATCAAAGCCCAATTATAGGCTAGAGATCAAGTCTGGCCTCACTCTATTCTATTCTGTAGTTTCATGTTTGCTATCCTTCAACTTAAAGAACTTGGACTGCAGAAGATTTTAGGCCATAATATATTACTTAAAATATAAAGCAGTCCTCTCTGGGAAGCTGCAGTGTAAGTGAAAGAAAATAGAATCTAGCAGTACTAACCTCTGAAATGTCATGTCTCTATATATCTGAAATTCACATGTGTCATTAACTTGCATCTTGTGGCTCTCCCATCCCTTTTTATTGAAACAACATGTCAAGTGTCAGACCAGCCTTAATAAATGACTTAGCAATTCTGCAGGGTGAATTCCTGACTCACAGACAGGAACTTACCTTCTTGTAGGCAGAGCTGCACTTGTGGTCATCATAACGGATGTGATCTTTACAGAAGACTTCCCCACATGCATCACATTTCAGAGGAAGGAAATCTGCAAGAAGAACAAAAAAAGAAAACAGATTCTCATGGAGCAGAGCTAACAGCTCTAAGGGTACTCACAAAGGACTACAAACAAATCCTAAAGCAACTAATTTTTGTCTAGTCACACTCCAATTATGTCGAGAGAGAGCATGCCATTCTTTATAAATATTACAACTAAAAAAAGCAAGAGCGATAAGTTTTCCTTGGTTTTATCCACAGCATTAGACAAACACAAGCCACAAATACCTCAGGAGCTCTCTGAACACAGAAACTTTAATGAGGTCCTAGTCGAGAGCTTGGAATTAAAGTACAAATCCAAAGCCCACACTCGGAAGTCTTTTTATTCTTTAAAAACCATCCCTTAACAGTTTATCACGTACAAGAACAAAACATACCGGGCTCTGCTATCACCCTTTCCCCGGACCTACTGAAGGGGGTCTCCAGCAGCAGCACCGGCATCTGCCACTACGCACAGCCTCGGGGTATAGGGACAGCCCCCCAGGGCACAGGTTATCCCACCCTGACGAGCCCTCCCGGAGGATCCAGTCCTGGGGGTCGGTCCCCATTCGCGGCAGCCGCACTTACCCAGCTGTTTGCAGGTGCGCTCCGAGCAGTGCTCGCCCAGCCAGGGGAGCTCCATAGCGCGGCGGGACCCTCACCCGAGGACACGGACCGAGCAGGAACACGAACACAACCCCAATCCCGGCCCCGCCGCCCCGCGCCTTTATCCCCCGTCCCGCTGACTCAGCGCCCGCCCGTGCTTAGTCACGCTCCCGCCGCCCGCCCGCCGACGTGACGTCACGCCCGCCCCGCGCCAATGGCGCGCCCCGACCGTGCGCGTGCCTGGTGGGCGGCCAATGGCGACCGGGGAGGCGTGCTGAGTCATGGCAGGGGGCGGGCCAGGGGGACGGGGCGGGGCCAGGGGATGGGGAAGGGCATGGATATGGGGAATGAGGATGGGGATGGGAGTGAGGATGAGAGTGGGATGGGCGTGTGAACGAGGACGGAGATGGGGATGAGGACGGGGATGAGGAGGGGAATGAGGAACAGGATGGAGATGGGGATGGGCAATGGGATAGAAAAGGAGCTGGAGCAACAGGGCCTGGGGAAGGGCCTGGAAATGAGTTCAGGGATGGTGGTGAGATGGTGTGGTGATGAAGACAAGGGCTCTCCAGCTTCCCCAGGGAGTTGCGCCCACATGACGCAAGCATTCCCATTCCTGCAAATTCCCTGTTGTACAGGTGCTCAAAGGGATGAGAGTGCAGGGCTGTCCTGCCTGGGGGACACGTCTCAAATAAGGGAGAACGACACAGAAAATGTTGGACTGGTGTGCTCCAGAGCACACTGGAGTGCATCAGCCCTTTGCCTTTTCCATTTTTATTTCATTTTTTCATCAAGACTTCAGCTGCTGCACCATCCCTCTGGATTGGGATGCTTAACTTACGTTACTTCCAAACTTCAAAATAAATCCAGAGAGCTTGATGAGAGCGTGAGTTCAGTCACAACAGGCTGATGCTCAGGGCCCCATTGCAGGACTTCAGTGTGTGCTGACTGGTCAGGGTGGACAAGCATCAGCTGCAGCTGTGGGTTTCCACAAGTCAACCGAATAAAAACTTTCCCAGTTGGTCTCTGTCTTCAAATGCTTATCTCACTTTGACAAGGCACTTTGGGGTCAAGGTGTGTTTCGGAAATGTTGATCTTTGAAGGTGTGTAACAAACTGGCTTTGCACAGGGGAGGTGAGGACTGTTGGTTTGATGACATTTGTTATAGGATTCAGAAATGCTGTTCTGCCCCTGCTCTCCCTAGAAAACACCTGACTCTGCTGTAGTACATGACTCAGATGCTGAGTGGAGCCATGAGGTCAAAGGGGAGCTTTAGGAAGGCGTGTGCTGACTGATTGTGAAGATCAGTTTGTGCTGTTGAACTCTGGGAATGGCATGTGCCACTCCTCCATCTTCCACGTCACCCAGCCATATGGTATTCCTGTGACTCCTGCTGTGTGTGCCAGCTTACAGCACACCCACTTGGTGCTCTTCTCAAGAACACAGTCCTGCTAGATTAAAATTATGCCATGTCATCAGCCAGACACTCTTCCCAGGCCTTCCCACTTAATTTAATTTTTCCTCCTGAACCCATAAAATTACCAAATCTCCTCATATAAATACCTTATTCCACAGAACAACTGCACTGACAGTGCATTGTGTTCTGCCACAGGTCTTTGATTTCCAAGGGCAAACTCTGATTTCACCTCCTCTACTATGGCATGTGCTGCATGGGGCCTTCTGGCACAGCCATGCCACATCCATGCTGGGAGCATCCACAGCCTGCCCTGGGACACCCTGGGGTTCTGGCATAGCCCCACAGGGAGGTACCAGCTCAGGTCTGCAGCAGTGGGAAAGGCAGTGCTGTGCCAAGCAGAGTCCTGCCCTCTGCCCAGCATGGCCACAGACACATAGACTGTGGAGACTGATGTGAGAAGAGACCTTCTGAGACATTCAATTCAACTCCCTGTTAAACATACAACTACTTCATGTAATTCCTTTCATAAACAAACCAAACCCCTTGTTTATTCCCATCAGAATGTCCCATAGCCCCTCTGCTTTCATGAAAAAAAGACAGCTTCAGGATTCCAGTGTAAAAGTTTTCCTGGTCTTTCAAGCAGTGCTGAAAGACAGATGTCTTTCAAGCAGTGCTGTCCTTTGGTTTATGTAGTTTCTTCTCACTGTGTCCATGCAACCAGCAGGTGAAGGAGCCAAACTGACTTTGCTGTGAAAGAGCCACCACTGTCCAGCTGTGTCCTGGAGGTGTGATCTGCAGCAGTAGGAGAAGTTTCCATTAGACATCACCCTGTTCATCGGATGACTGTTCCATCCTTGGGCTGTGGCTTCCCTTCTCCTGTGGCAGAACCTGCCTCTTGAGTCAAGTTTGATGCAAACCTTGGAGGTCTCAAGCCCAGGGAGAGCTTTAGTTCTCCTTTAGTGCTCTTTCTGGCACACAGACATGCCTGGTACTTGACAACACAGACATGCAGCATCACCACAGTTCTTTGGCCAGTAGCATGTGGTTAAAAGGATTTCCCTTGCCTGAGCTGAACCAGCTAGCTGGTGTGTGCCAGCGTGGAGGGGCACAACCAGAGCATGGCACTCTCCCCCTGCTTTGCTTGTTCTTTTGACTTGGTTGGTTCTGGCAGCTGCAGACAGGGGCATATTAAAAAGGAGGAAACAGTAAAAAGTATCCAAATACAAACAGTAAGAGAAAGTCCAGTTACCCAAGGTGCTTCAAGAGCTCTGCTCCATTATATATCTACACATCAGCTCCGTTACACAATTTACACAGCACTCAAAAACTTGGGAATTGCAAATAAAATCACATGTCCTGCTGAGCTTGTAGGCTAATTCTTTTCATACAAAGCACCTACCCAGTGCCTGACAGGAGTGGCACCCCAGTGAAGGCTTGCCAAAAAGTGGCAGGGTGAGCTGAGCAGGGAGGAAGAGGTTGGTGTCTTTGCTGACTGGCTGATGCTGCCCTGCAGACTGGAGAGCCGCTGCCAAAGGGATCATGTTTTATGGTGGGGAAGGGAGGAGTTTGCATATGGATAACAACAGAAATGGCTCTGCGAAGACCAGATGCTCTTAAGGAAGTCTGTAAATCCCAAGTCTGGAAACCCACATAGTACAGGCAGCTGTCTTAATAGAAATGAGGATTAGAAATTAGCCGAGGTCTTTAGTGATATTTTTAGAAGGTTGCTCCTGACAGGTTAGGCTGCTGAGAACCAGAGGAAAGTGCCAAACCCTGTATTACTTGGGAAAGGATCACACAGTGCAGTGTGTGATTAGAGGCTGGCTAGCTTAGCAACAAGGGGGATAGGTGGGTTAGGGCTGATTCGGGAGGAATTAGCAAGGGAAATTGCTTGAGAAGCAGAATTTGATTAGGGGCAGCCAACGTGGATTTATGAAAGGAAGGCTATGTGTAACTAACTTGCTGGAGTCTGGGGGAGGTACCGTTCCCGGCAGCCTGCAGTGTGTTAGTTTTATGTAACCTAATCTGCACAGGGAAGGCCTGGCCCCTTCGGCACCAGGGTGGTGACACTGGGTGCTATGGATGGGGATACCTCTCTCCCTTGCCTCTGCATGGATTCTGCCTCCTCATTCCCCATCCTTTCTACCTCCTTTCTAGTTTTTCAGGGCAGAAGGACTATTGTTTTTTCCCTTGTCCCATGCTTCTGCTCTTTGTCCTTCCCAACCTCTCCCTCCAGTCCATGAGATTGCCTCTCGGTGGGCTATTAAACATCACTGTCCACCCCACCATGCCAGCATGGTGGACCCACACTGCATCCCAAAGGGGGAATAAAACACCTCTGAAGAGGATCACAGCCTTCATCAGGTTCACGGATGTTTGCTCCTTCAACCAGGGCCCCCACGAGTCATTTTAGTGAAGCCTGGAATTGCTCTGCAGAAAACAGAAAATCCTCTGGCAGCCTCAGACATGCATATCACCAATCTCCAGTATCTCCAGTCCAGCCTGGAAGAGGCCAAGCACAAAGGAACAATGGCCAAGGGAGACTTGACACAGCTGAAGGCACTATCATGCTGCCCAGAAGAGAGAGAGGAGGTCTTCAAAAGCCTTCCCTGCTCCCTCTGTAGTGGCAGCTCTAATTGCTTGGGTGGAGAAAGTCTGTGCTACTTCTCAACACCGTGGCTGACACAATGGAAAACCCAAATGGGACAGCCTGAGGGCAACTTTGTTTTCTCCTGTGCTGCCAGCCTGTGAAGCCAGGGGGACACTGATGGGATGGCAGGAGAACAATTGTCCAACATCAGCGCCAGCCACAGACGTGACATGGATGGGGAGCCGGGGATGTGGTTCCATCCTGTCTCTTGAGGCAGGGTCTGTTCCCTTCCCACCTCCCTGGGTTATAACAGGCATCATGGCACAGAGATGCCCATGGCCAAGACAACCAGGTCCATCCACCTCCTCTCCACCTTGTGTGCCTCCAACTCCTCCCGACACCATCCAGAGGACACAGACAAGTCCCCTGGCTCTGGTGTCCCCAGGGCCACCTCATTGCCTGCGGTCCTCCTGCACCAGCACGGTGCTTGTTGCTCCAGCTGCAGAGCCACTGCTGTGGCATTAACATTTGGGTGACTCCAGCTCATATTTGCCTTTTCCGGGTCTCTGAACTCCAATCCCAGTGTCCCGCTTTTCAGCTCATAATTTTGTACCTGGCTCTTAAAACTGAATTTTATTTTTATTGCAATGACCCTGTGGTGCTGCCAAATCTCTCTGTGGAGGAGACATGACATCTCCATTACATAGCTCAAATAAGTGTCTTAAAGAGACCACACACAAAGGAACCTAATGGTACCTATTTTTATTAGGTTTATTACAGGAGGGGAAGTAAAGCAGTCCGATCTCCCCACAGGATACTCTGTTAACAGCAGCAGGCAGAGAGGAGAGATCTGTGGAGGCGGATCAGTTTTCCAAGAATATTAGCTACTGCTG